GCGCGACCTCTTCTGGCGCCCCTATTTCAGTCTTTTTCCTGGCTCCTTCGCTCGAGATATATAGACGGCCACTAAACTTCTATCCTGGCCATCAATTTCACTGCAGGAAGGATCGTGTGCCACGGTGGCCAGCGTGGCGACTCGCACAGGCCTCGTTTGCCAAATGCCTGCAGGCTCGATCTTTTTGTCCACGCCAAGCAAACGTTACAACTGCCGCGAGTTAGCTATCTCTGGCCTAACAAGGAATAGTCCGAAGCTCGATGGTCATCGCTCAAGGTTAACCTCGTGGGGACTCGGGTCTAAGGTTCTCCGGATGGTGGACAAGACAGGCGACAGTGTGTCACTGGTGATTGGTGAAATTGAATCGGAGATCTTTCGGGTTCTTTCGATTCAGCCACGAATTTAGGTTTCTCGGGTCTGGAACGATGTGCGATCCCGATGCTTTGTTCTGCTCACACTTTCGGCAAGATTAGTGCTAAGGGGGTGGAGATCGTTGGAGATTTACGATTTGACGTTTGGAAGTTCCTTTTTTTCTGCTTTTTTTCGCAAGCAGAATGACGTTACTGGATTTAGGAGCTGATGAGGGTAACACATTGAGCGAGTCTTTTGAGTTATCGGGGAAAGTGAAATAAGATATCAGGTTAATGGTCGTTTCTGGTTTATTTGGCATCGCGTGATTTATTTGAAACGTGCAGTTTATGAAAAACGTACGACGTGTTCGGTATATTTAGCGTCGAGTAGTTTATTATTACGTTTATTGAAAATGCTACGTTTCTGTAAATCGAAGTAGAAATCTTTCTTTTTTAGAAAGAGAAGCTTCTTCTGCGCTCGTTACGATTCGAAAATACACGAAGATTTTCTGTTTATTCGTGTTTTTATTCCCGCTTTCATAGCGGAAATAGCCTTCGAAATGTGGAATATTTTCAGCGTTCGTATTGTTAACCCCTTATAACCGGATTTTCCTTTGCTGGCAAGAAACAAAAGCGCGATTGATTACAGTTTTCCATTCAAACAGAGGAACTAAGAACTAATTACCGTTACGGATGAATTGTTTGGTGACAATGGAACGGCAAAATGATAAAGCTAACCGGCACTGCAATAAAGTAATAATACTACAGTCCTTTAGAATGCTCGTACCGTTTTGATCGTCGACACATTGTGTTTCTCGATATCGCGAGAGGATTATTTCTTACACATATTTCCAACAAATAGCGAATTGCTGAACTCAGACAAATATTGTTCTTGGTTGCATATCTCAATTGCCGTATATAATCCCTTTAATCCTTTGTAAAATTTAAAATTCTGATTAGCAGCAGAGGCAGTCTTTTTCTAATAACGCGACATTGGAGAAGAAAAAAAGAAAAATGTCGGTCTTTAACTGGAATATTCAACTTAATCTGTCTCATTTATTACAAGTACCGACTACCGTTTATTCGCAATTTTATAAAACTTTCTTCTTCCGTGACAAGAAATCGAGTAAGTATGATACTTTAGAAGCGCGCATCAAATATTTCGAAGAATTCGTGCCGTAAAACTATGAAATTGAAAAGTACTTTCAGCTTTACTACAATTTAGAAAGAATATCGAAGAAATTATATTGTTCGTAAGTTGGGTCGTGCGATTCACTATACGCCATACATAACAACGTGTGATTTTTAGCAAGACCTATCGATTTTTATGAGGTCGATCGGTTGGCAGGTTTGCTTTACACACACTTTCATTCTACGTTTAAAAGATCGCCTCCTACGAGGGCGGTTTCTCTGTCTCAACGGGTTCCTTGGGACCAATCGCTCGCCCCCTATGAATCTTTTACGAACGTCCATTACGTATACTTTTATTTGCCGGTGTTCGAATAAACTATAGGCAAACAGTAATTCCCACGCACGAGACACTCGTTCGATCTCTTTGTCGTAAACAAAATTGCTGAAAGTGCACCCTCCGCGTGTCTAGTTTCTTTAAGATGATCGTTTTTGTCCGCTATTTTGTAGGACAGCGATGATGAAAAATATACCGAATGTAGCAAAAATTCGTAGAAATTGCTTTCACGGTGCCGAGCTTGTTTATTGTGTTCTTTGGGATAAAATATAGGGATGTAAATAATAAATGGACAATTAAATAATATAGTTATTCTATATATTATGTGTGAAAACTGAAATGGTACTTATACGCAAAATTTGTTTAAATTGAATCATACGTCGAGAATTAATTTATATTTAATTCACATATATGCCACATCGATAATCTAAACACAACATGATCTAATTTCACGTCTATACTAAATGGAGAATAGATTAATTCGAACATAGTGCAAATCTAATCTGGACATAACGCATCTTAAGCTTGCGCTAATCTAGGATTAACAGTGTTTAACCCAGACTTAAACTGGACAGGAGAACAGTCTATCGTAGGCCAGGACCAAGCCGAATTTTAACACGTGTCGTATTTAATCTCGCAGCGTTCGCCAAATTCAGGCTTCCGAATTTAACTTTAATTTTTCGTACGTAAGTTGGAAATTTTGTACAATTTACAACAGATCTATACGCTTTAAAAATAATTTAAATTTGAAGGTAGACTCAATTTGTAAAATGGTAACCTAGACATCCAATTTCGTATATTCGCAATTTTATGAATAAGCAAATTTCAATGCCCATTTAATCGCGATTAAACGTTGTTCATTAAAAATCCCCGGACCGAGAGCTAACGTTATTTCAACATTTCCAATTAATTCGAATCGTAAAACGAAAACGTGAAAAGAAAGGCCAGTGTATATATATATATGTACATATATACGTATATATCGAATCACGAAACGTTAAATGATCGTGGATAGCGCGTTGTCACATTTCACGATGACCACAGCATCGCTTTCGCGCCGACGACAAACGTTTTAATATTTCAAATCAATGTAGATCAACGAACGCGGAACGAGGGGAAACATATTTGACCGCGAAAGATTAAATGGCTTCCCGTTACATCGTTATGCTTTCAGTGGGCTACAACGCGTTTATGCGAGCGTCTAATACGACGAATTAATTTGGCAGGGAATGGATATGCTACGCAGGAGAGAAAAATTTCGGTGGATGTAGTGTCACGATTTATTGTCATTCGTTGATAATCGTAATTATCAGTGAAATATTTCAAATTCGTTCGAATATGACGTAAAGCTTTAGCAATAAATAATAGAAAATTTACTAGTGCAATAAATAATAGAAAATTTAGTAGTGTTTCTGCGAGCGAAATCGATTCGAATTCTAATATTATCGAAGAACGTGAGATGGTTTTGAAAATCGTCATTATTTTCAAACCGTTAGTAGCTTCGAACGACAAAGAAAATGGGAAATAATTTGCTAAGGATTAAATTGTCAATTTATATTATTTTGCAACTCGTCCTGAAACTGTATAAAATTATTCTATCGCGTATGATATTCATTTATCTCGAAATTTGTTCGTTAAATATAATTTGTATTCCTAGTCCCGTAAATTCGGATGATTGTTTCACCATTGTGGATGCTAAATAGGTAATTGGTAATTCAATTGTTTGTTAGCTGATTGTGCTCGCCAGCCCTGGGTCGATGGTGTAATATGGATTTCTAATTATCATTTTCATACATAATTTAGAATTTAGAATTGTTTGACCAATCTAGTCGAACAATTCTTCTCCAAAAATCTACTTAGTATTCGACCTAACTTCGACTTCAACTTCCCAGCCTACGCTCTTGAACGAAGCAACTCTTCCCTACCTTAGCTTCTCTCGTCGATATTTTATCAAATTTAAAGCACGCTCTGTCATACAAGTGTACGGTACACGGTAACCGAAAGAAAGAGTTTGGCGCGAAGAAACAGAGGCAAGTTTGTTTGCAGACCAGGCTGCAGATATTACAGATCGAAGGATCGACTAGGTGTATGGTTCTCTCGGCCGGTGCAACCGTTTCTCGCGAACATGTGTCGATTGCTGGCTCTTGTGTGCGAATGTCCACAAGACCTTTCCGTCTTCTCGAGAACGTCGTATCCTCGAGCTAGGATTTTGCGATCTTCTGTTTGCACGCGATCTTCGCCTGATACTTGCTCGAACAGCTGTACATGATACTACCATCGCAAACAATATATACGCCAAGTTCAATAAATCTTGGTATTTCCAGCAAGTGATTATTGATAGAACGACGCGCGACACCCAGAGAGTACGGTACAGTTTCAAAGTATGTGGACATTTTCCAATTTTTGGCAACACGTGTTTGTATGAGGAAATTAAGGATAAATCGAACTGCAACGATTTTGTTCTCCGTTGGAATTGAGAATTCCAGTGATCGTTGTAATTAGCTTTCTATTTAATTGTATCGTTGGAAACCTGTATCGGAATAAATTTGATACAAAGCTTCAAGGAGCGTGGCCGAATTTCGAATTTAAGTTGTAAAATCATTTATAGCGGCAGACATTCGTGGTTCTTTTTAGGAATGATCCTTCTTAACCTGAAATTTATTGGTCCATTATTTTTGTGCCCCCTGTCGCGACACAATTTCCAAATATCGTGGCACAGTATCGTGCATTGTAACAAAATACGAGGATCGTCGAAGAACGTCGATAAGCATATTTATTCCTAGCGTACCTTAGCGGAAATTGAAAGTACTTAAACGTAGATACATATCGCTACAGCGGCCATACACGACGAAACGTGCTGGTCCGATGTCGGAGCTACTTACCAGAGTTCGAAACGCGAGATACGAGCTGGATTTTCGCTTACTAGTCAAATTATTTTCCTACGTTGCGAAATTCCTGAGACTGTCTGGCTATCGTCGTTACGTATGTCCTGTTACGATACTGGTACGATCGTGGCAAGACTATAAAGCGATTCAGGAAAGACACCACGATACTTAACGGTTGATAAATATTTATCGCTAAAATATACTCTTGCGACAGATTCGTTTTTATTTATGAAAAATTTCGAAAAATGCTAAGATTGTTAGGACAAAAGGTTTTTAATTGGATACTCTTTTATGTTGCAGAGTTCATCAGTTTGAGTGTAAAATGCGGTGATTTCAGGGAGGACGCGACATCTGGAGAAAACTAGAGTGCAGTGCTACAAGCGGTGAGTTAAATTTCCCTTGGATGAAATTCTCATTTTAGATATATTTCGCGACGTTTTGTTAAATTGTAGCATAAAGTCAAGTTCAACATCTTGAAAATGATAATTTGAAAAGAGAAATATTCGCTGTAATGTGGATAATTTAAAAAGATTCTTTGTAACGTACATAATAATTTAAAGAGATTCTCTTTATTAAACGTCATATACAGGCCCTTTGCAAGCACTGTTACGCTTAAAATAAGTTTGGAACCTTCGTCGAAGAATTAGATAACTAAAATTTGAAAATTAATTTTTGCATCTATGCTAATGTTTCTTTTCTATTTTCATTTCTAAATGCGTAATTTCTCCAAATTAAAAAAAAGCATATAAAATATGTCGTCTTACGTGCAACAGAGAAACAGCTTGAAAAATCCATTTCGTATTTTCTATATTTTATTTGGGAAAGCGTCTGCGATTGTTGTGAAATTGTCACAATACGTCTCGTTAAGAGATATTTTTAACATAAACGGGAAAACCTGTTGCCAATACATGCAGAAACACTGCGTACACGTAATTTACTGAAATTCTAGTTCTATAAAAAAACAATAAAACATCACCGTCATCACGGTGAACGCGCCATTTATTTAATAAAATTCCAACTTCATGAAAATACAGGTGAAACCTGTACGTGGTAGTGTATGGAAAATACACCGATACAAAAACGCCATGCATTTAAGGTGTAATATTTCAGTTCATCAAACTCCACTTAAACGGTCCGTTATCTCGGCGCGATCCAATATAAGGCGACGAAGAAAGCGCAGATTAACCTGACGTAACCTCTATTCCCGGGCAACCGGAAGTACAGAAGAAGCCATATTGAACGAAGCGACGGATTAAAACTTTTTCTAGCCCCGAGGAAGATCCGTTCGCCTGGAGCAACACAGACAATGGTTGCGCCCGGCGAAATTATTTCGAAATTAGAGATAAAAGTGATTTAGAAAGGGAGGCTCGATCCCCCGTGAAATGGATAGCTCTCTTCTGAATCCATTGCCGGGTTTATTTATTTCTCTCAAAGAAACACTTTGACTCCTCCCCCGTTAGAACCCTCTGGCTACCTTGCACATTTCCCATTTTGCATGGGTGGAGAGAAGAGAAAGAACATAATTTAATGGCAAAGACAAAGGGTGGGGGCGGCGAGGGTACGAACTGATTAAACGGCCGTTAAGGGGAAATGAATTTTAAATACGATTCTTCATACGCGCCCGAGTACCAGCCACCGAATAGACGCCGGAAATGATCGCGAACCTGGCTCCGTTTCGCTGAAACGTTTCCGCTATGCAAAGAGAAAGAGAGAGAAAACGAGAGAGAGAGAGAGAGAGAGAGAGAGTCTGACTTTCAACGAATTCATTTTTACGTAGATTACTATTTCGATGGGATCTCGGCCGTGTTGGTCGAGTAATTTTCTCGATAGATTGGAAAGTAGATTACCGAGGATTGTTAGGTGGTGCAGGCTGTGTTAGTCGTCATTTGAGCAATTTGGTGTTTAGGTAATGTCTTACCAAGTAGCGTAGTACGCAGTTAGGCGGCTCATTTACATCGCAAAATATTTCATTCGTTCGCTCGTTTCTCAGTTTTCGTAATTTAGTTTCCTTCTTAATGTCAAATCGATGCAAAAGTTAAGAATTAGTACGGCGAAGAGAGAAAAACCAAAATCCGTAGATTAAAATCTAGGAGAATGCCAAACGTAAATATCAAAATTAAACTTAAAATCTACGACTAGAAATCTATGAATTACACGTCAGAATTTGTACATCGAGATGTTTAAAAATCCCCAAAATTGTACACTCTTCTATAGTAAGTGTCCAAATACTTTTTTGAGCCAGTCGCACAAATTTAGATGAAAAAAATCTACTCTTATCGACGTTGTAATCTTTTCGACATCATGGATTTTCGTTTGCACCACATGTATATCACGATATTATCATGTGATCCATTTACTGAAGCGCGAAACATATATCTTGATTTTACATCGAATTTACATTGGCTTATGACAAATTCGCTGTGGACATAGCGGTGCGGGGGCTTATGTGAAATAATTTAAGCCGGCTCTTAAAATCGCGCGGTCCGTATCGAATATGGAAATCGGTGCCATGACACACAGGCTATTGAGCTTTCTATTAAAGGGCTTTCTACTCGTTGCTGTGCGGGCTCATTTTTCATCGCGGAAATTTATATTGCTCGTCTTTATACCAAGCTTTTCGTAATTGTTTCACTCTGTCGAAATTCATGATTTACGGTAATAATGAAGCCTTTAATTTCGATACCGAGATGAGAATTAATCGACCGTGCATTGCATATTTTCGATGAAAATTCAAATTTAACAAGTATTTCATTCGTCACATTTTTCGACTCGACTGTTTAAAGAATCAGAGTTTCGTTCATCACATTGTACGATTGAAATTCGCAAGAACCAACCCACTGAATTTTTTCTCTAATTAACAAGATCTTTACTTGCTTCGATCTAGGATTGTTTAATTACGGATTGGCCTCTACGATACGGATCGTGTTTCGAACGAATTTCGAAAGTAATATAAATCAGCATCCTAACGCAATTGAACGATCCCAAGTCACCAGAAATTCTCGAATTCTCTATCCATCCTAACCTCAAAGTGGAACCGCGTTCCCCTTCAGCCACTGGAACATTCGTCGTGTTTCCTCGCGGAACGATTCATTTCCTGGCCGGATGTTCCGTTGAACGACGAACTTGCCGAGGCTGTTATCCGCTCCGCGGCAAGATAAACGCGACCAGATCGAATCCTGGTGCCGATTCTGAATCCGAGAGCCGCGTCTATCTAGCCGATTAATCGATAAGTCTGGTTGTCTTGACTGAAAGCGAGAGTGCTCCTTCGAGACGAAGCGATCATCTAAATGTAGAAGGGAGACAGCAGTATCGACGTTCCTCCTTCCGGTTCTCATCGCGACGCTGCTGAATTCCAGTATCGCGTTTTCCAAGTGCCTCCGTACGTCCGTGACACGGTGTTGTTCCGTTCGTCGGCTGCTTCCACTCACTGATCGATAACTGGTGACCATGTTTCGTGACGAATAAAGAATCCGGCCAGACTTGGTATTTTTGGTCTGCTGGTAGCTTTAAATTTATAACTACGTGGAATGATTTCTTTATTAGGCGATTATCTTAGGTAACTACTTTCGGATTCTTTGATTACGTTCGAATGACTTTTATCGGAGAAATAATTTACAATTACTCGACTTTTATCGGGGAATGAATTCAGAATTGTTTGACTCTTATCGAGGAATTATTCGTAATTTAAAATTGTTCCATTATATCTGACAGATCTATACAGGATCTTTCGATTGTGCTTGAATTGAATTTTATCAACGAATTGGTTGAAAAATATCTGTGTTTAAAACAGAATGATTCCTATTAGAATATTTGTTCGAAGTTATTTTCAACTGTATTAGGGTTGAGGGGGATTTTAATTTTATTTATCTATTTTCGTAATATATTTGATACGATCCATAACACCAAGTCCAGAATCCATGATCGTATTAGCCTAACGATAAATCCTATGTCACAGAAGTTCCTGAAATCTATCAAGTATCCAAACATTAAATCTATCGAACAGAGAAGCGGAGATTCGTCTTCCAGCAAACATCAGAATCAGAACACTTGAGTGACAAAAGATAACACCGTTTTCTCCACTCTTAGGGAGGAAACTTTCTCATTTCTCTTCTAAGCAGCTGTCCACGTAGCTCAGACCGAATGCTAGCAATCCTTCCTCCGTTTCTGTAGACCTTCGTCTCTCCTCGCTCCTCTCGCCGCCCTCGTCGTGTTCTCGAGTTTTCCATATAAATATACATAGAACCAGGAGCTGCAGAGACACTTAGTTCTGAGAACCTCTGAGATCCTTCCCTTCTGGCTGCTCTATTCTCGCTTCGATGAGAAGAGGATGTCCGGGGGACCCGGGGACCATTGTCTTAATTGAGAGAGGTTAATTCGAGACGGACGAGTTCTGAGAGTTATAGACATTCTGCCGTGTTTAGCCGGGGCTTAGACGGGCTTTCTCTTCATTGCTCGATAGCGTAGACGCGAACACAGTCGTAATACTACGTACGTGTACCTACAGGGTGTTTCAAGAAGTTGAGATCAAATTTCAGTTGCTGGTCATTTATCTAGGGACACGTACGAAACGTTGTTGTCACTTTTCACTCGCGTCTCTTAATTTGATCGAATGCCCAGACCCTGCGTTAAAGTCGTTACAGGATATCACGATAACATGTATTTTTGAAAACCGATATGCACTAAAAGAATAATTACTATAAACTCTGCTATTGTATGAAAAATTTGTTCGTGCCTGTACGTTTTATTGAAAAACTGAGAAACGTCGTTAGATGGGATTGAGAAAGGGAAATGGTAGGTGGATCTACGTTCTCAATAGATTTGTCTCTTCCGATAAGTTTGATTGTGAACTTTTTGACCGCCCTGTAGATACGTCTGCCTGGCAACGTTTTTGTCCAAGGTAGATTTATACACATACGGCTAGGGATCGAGTAGAGTAGACAGGGACGTAGTACTACCACGTGGTGTCGTATCTGGCGTAGATTATGGTGCTGGCCGCTAGATTTCGTTGCGAGTTACGGCCACGTTTCGTTCTCTCGTGTCTTGTAATTTATCTCTTATCAGACTTGGCCGAGGGTCAGGACAGCTTTCTTTCGACTGCTCGCGTGTGCCTCGAGCTGACTAGGCAATTCCAACTGGAACGTTTCGGCTGATTAGGTTGTCTGGAATGATTTTTGCCATCTGCTGACGGATGGATGCATGTTTGCCAAATATGTGAGATTCAGAGTATTGGTTAAAATTATTTCAAATAAAGCGATACTGAAATGGACGTGCCATAAACACCGGTAACACGAAATCTATCAAATAATCATAATAAAACCACAATTACTCCTTGAACTTCAAAATCCTCAAGTATCTGAAACTATCGTACCCTGTGAAAACTGTC